AAGTTTGGGTTGTTGGTGTGCCCCCCACGTTTTGAGAATCCTTATTATGGCTAATTCCCCCCCCCCCCCCCGTAGATGTGCTGTAACCTACAAATGTCGGGGTTTCCAGATTTTCTTGTGTTGGAGGGGGGTGGGTGTTGAGCCCAACCAGCGTGCCGTGCTTGTAGTTGGACTACTTGTTGACTAGTATTATAGTAGTATGTATTGAACGCGTGATGGCTCGGAAGAAACGGTGTAGGACGGGTGCATGAGTTTTTGGTGGTTGAATATCTCGGCTTCAGAGCGGATTTTGAGAAATCGACAGGTGGGGTGGAGAGCGCGACTGACGATCATCGGAGATGCGGGGGGGTGTTCTGTGTTTGTTTTTATTTTTTTGGCAGCTCGCTTCAAGAAAAGCGTGTAAAACTCACACGGTGGAGTCCCGTAAGAATGGCTCGCCGGATGGATACATTGTGTGGGGTGTAGGCTTATCCTTGTCCCCGTGTGTCTAGTTTGGGTTGGGCGAGGCCATGGAGGAAACGCCGTTTTATTAGATGGGTATTGTAGGGCCGTGGTGTTCGGCGGACGGGTTTCTTGCGCTTAATGTTTGCGCCAAGGATGGAAAAACCTTTCCTGTTCTGTTCGTCTCTTGTTGGGGCTTTCGAGTGTGCTCGAGAAGCGGCGGAACAAATAACAAGACCTCAACAACAACGGGGGTGGGTGCGATTGGAGCTTGGTATGCTGCAAGGCAACAGTCCATCCATTGGACGATTTGAGTGGTGCGGAGGGGTTAGTGCAAACGGTCCAAGAGTTGTAACCCGCGCGGAACAGGTAGAGATGAGGAGGAGGGAGGAGGATGATGAGATCTTCATGAGGCGTCCGCGTGCGAACATAGGGGTACAGCAGTAGAGGTCCCTGTGTAGTGCCGGTACGTGCCCAGAAAATTCACCCGTCACTATTCGAAGTTTTGAGAATAACGACTTGGAAGTTCGGTGTGTGCCCGCCGAAAAACGCCGGCACGATCCCGGCAACCGTCACTAGATAGGGACCTACCGCGCATTTTGGAGCTCGAATCCCCGCTCCCGTTCCGTCGTGCTTGTTTGCTGGGTCACTTTGCTCGTCGCTTGAATACATGGTTGGAGTGTGCCTAGTCGGGCTGATGACAAGAGGATACCCCGGCGCCCCCCCCCCCCCCCCCCCCCCCCCCCCCTTTTTTTTT